AGAAACTATGAAACTTGATAAATCAATCCTTGAAGAGTTCAAAGATTATTATAACCTTAATGACAGTCAATTAAGTATGGTTGAGAAAGGTTTTTATTCTTTCTTAGAACTTCATATAGGTAATCATAGTCATTTTGCAATGCTTTCTGAGGATGTAGATGCCCTATGGCATTTCTTAATATTACATACACCACATTACTTGAAAGTATTCACTAAAATTAACATTGGAAGAGTCTTAGAACACTCACCACACATTGATAGTGAATCAGATGATGTTAAGAAGCAAGTAGTTTTGACTTTAGATAAGTATGATGAGTTATCGCTTCAAGTTCCTAAAGATGTTCTTGGTATCAGACCAATCGACCTTGAAAATTCTACAAAGAAAAATGTCGTATTAAAACCAAAGAGAAAAGCTTCTTATGAAATTCCAGATGTAGATATTGATGAAAATGGTTTTTTAATTCAAAGTATAAACTCAATAGCTGATTTTGTTCAGGAGATACCCATTGCATCTACTAAAACAAGTCAACCTTGTGTAAATCACAGTCACAGCAGTCATTCATCTAATCTGAGTAGTTGCTCAAGTTCATCTAGTAGCCACAGTCATAGTCACAGTAGCCACTCAAGCTGTTCATCTAGCAGTTGTAGCTCCAGTAGTTCTTCAAGTTGTTCAAGTTAAAATAAAGGGAAGCATTAGCTTCCCTTTTTATTATACTAAATCTAAGAAATTCTTATGACATTTACTTAAATCCATATCCTCTTTCTCTCTCCAATTAATCCATCTTGGGAATCTTGGTTTATCTTTAACTCCAGCAGTCATTGATCTATATTTTAGAATCTTTCCAGCATATTGATCTCGATATTTCCAAACAGCAATCCTTTCCTCTGCACTAAGCTTTCCAGCACCAACAGTAATTGTTTCTCCAGATATTGAATCAATGCAAGTGAAGCTTCCTAACATGCCTTTCTGAGTCTTATTAGCCTTGTGTGATGATCTTTCAGAGTTACCTAACTTATTTACAGTCTTTCCATTATTGTTCTGCATAGCTTCATTAAAGCCAATTATAATAGCTTCACTATCTGCACTTGGTTTCATTCTGATTGTTTCTTGTGATAAAGGTGTACTTCTACCACATTTGTATGGCATATCTCTTCTATATATTGCTCCCTCATAGCCCTCATCTATGCAACAGTTATAGAAGTATTCAGCATCTATTTCATCTTCAATTAATTTTGGTTTTAAAAATTCCATATGAACATTGCAACCATCAACACAAGATACACTATTAATTTTAGATACAGTAACTAATCTATCTAAATAATTTTTGTGGCATATCTTACCTGAATCTAAAGCTTCACCAACAAAATCAAAAATTGATATAGTAATATCCTCTGCAACTTTATCAAAACTATTTACATAGCTAGTTGTTTTTCTGCAAATATCATCATCCAATCTGTTCTCTGGTTTTCCAACAGTGATTTCAAAACAAACACCAGATAAGAACCAACTGGAAAGGATTTGATTCAGTTGCTTATTCTTAAAATCTTTCAGTGTTCTACTATATAGCTTACTTCCAAGAACAATTGCATTAACTCCATCAATTTTTGGTGTAGCATAGACTGGATATTTAAACTTATCTGGAGTAATCTCACACACTTTTGTTGGTTTGAATTTAAAACTTGACATACTTCTTCCTTATAAATAAAATGAATTGTAAGTATACCCTATATAAAGAGTGAAAGCAATGAGAGTGTCAAAGAAAGAAAGAGAGAAAATAAAAAATTTGTTTGGTGGTAAATGTGCATATTGTGGAACAGAGTTAGGTGAAAAATATCACTTAGATCATATAAAACCTATCAGAAGAAACTGGTGGGAAGATGCCAGCATAAACCCTGAAAATGATGTATCAGAAAACCTATATCCAGCATGTATTCCTTGTAACTTAAATAAAGGAAGTTTATCACTAGAAGATTGGAGAAAGAAGATTACCCATTATAGAGATGTTCAGTTGCTTAGGGATTCTCATGTTGCCAGACATTTAAACAGATTTGGGATAATAAATTTCAATCCAGAAGATGTAGTTTTTTATTTTGAAGAACTTGCAAATCAAGATTTAATGTAATATAATTAACGTAATCTGAAGGAGATTACAAATGAAAACTTTATATCTGAATGAAAAAACTGGAATTGAATTAAGCTTAAACAAATACTCTGGAGCTTTAGAACTATTGGTTATTAACCAAGATGATGAAAGTTACGGAATTGATATTGATTCATGTGAGATTAAAGAAAACACCATATCAAGAGATATAGGTGAATATTCTAGACCAGAGTATTCAAACAACTATAATATTGAAGTTGAAGAAATAACTTCTAAAATTGTTTGTTATATTAATGACGATAATGAAACTGGTGTTGTTCAACTAGATATTAAATTGTTAAATCACATTAATCATCTGATAGAAGAAGAAGCTGTGGAAATTTTTATTGAAGGATTGAATTAATGTCTAATTTAAAAATTGATAAGTTAAGCTTAATCCTTATA